GAGCACACTGCTGGCTCATGTTCAGGCGGCTGTCAACCAACACCCCCAGGTCCTTTTCAGCCAGGCAGCTCTCCAGCCACTCCTCCCCCAGCATGTAGCGTTGCATGGGGTTGTTGTGACCCAAGTGCAGGACCTGGCACTTAGCCATGTTGAATCTCATGCAGTTGGCCCCGGCCCATTGGTCCAGCCTGTCCAGGTCCCTCTGGGCATGCAGCCCAGGCCACGCTGGATGACTTTGAGACCTTGCCACCCTTCGGGCAGGATGCTGTGAGTGCCAGGTGAAGAGGGGGTGCTGAGGGGAACCTCGCTAGAGGTTGCTGGCCAGGCTAGGAGAGGTGTCAGCAGCTCCTGGGAAGATCTGCTGCCTGCAAAGAGGTGGGGTTATATCCAGCTTTGGGGGCAGGAGCAGAGGGGGGTGCTTGGTCACATTGCTTGGTCAGGATGGGCTGGGGAGTTTTGGGTGGTGACAGCTCTTCCTTCCCTCTTTCTTGTCTCCTCTCTCCTGCATCATTCCGTGTGAGCATGGGCGCAGCTCCCCACCTCCACTGTCACCTCCTGACCTTGTTCTCCCAATTTCAGGCGTCCAAAGCTTGGTGCAAAACCAAGATGGATGAGTCGAAGCATGAGATCCACTCCCAAGTGGATGCTATCACTGCTGGTACAGCCTTGGTGGTCAACCTCACTGCAGGTATGTGGAGGGTTGAAGAGGGATGCCCCTGTTTCTGGAGAAGGCTTGGTCTCTCCTGTCTGGCTGAAGGTCATATCTTCTGCCCTCCATCAGAGACTGGAGGAGTCAGCCTGCCCTAGCTAGAGCTAAATCAGCCCTGACTGCTGCTAATGTGCCTGTAGAGCCGGCTGTGCCCCTGCAGCTCACCCTGCCTTTACATCCCCCAACATCCCTGCCTATGCCCAGCCCAGCCCTTCCTCCCAGTCCTTGGCTGACCTGCCATCCTCTGAACCAGGAGCGTGTTGTCCAGTCCCTGCTATAGTTCCAGGCACAGCTGCAGCACCGTGCAGCTCTCCTTCCCCAGGCCCTCCTGCCCAAACTCAGCCGATGCGACCGTCTTTCAGGCTTAGGAGCCAGGGCACCTCTCCCCCCGCTCCTGGGAAGGAGGACCATATCAGTGACAGGTGCGGGGATGTTCTTGGAGCATCACTGAAGCACATCCCGTCCTGACTTGTTTCCTCCCTGTGCAGGGGATCCAGCGGACGCGGACTACACTGCCATGGGCTGTGCTGTCACCACCATTTCTTCCAACCTGATGGAGATGTCCAAGGGCATGAAGCTGCTGGCTGCACTGATGGAGGAGGAGGGAGGGAATGGGCGGCAGCTTCTGCAGGCAGCCAAGAACCTGGCGAGCACTGTTTCGGGCCTGCTGAAAACGGTGCAGCCTGCCAGTGCTGAGGTGGGGGACAGGAGGGGCTGTGGGGCCAAGAGGCGGGGGGGAGGCGAGGAGGACCAGTG